GAAAACTGTCCATCACTGACTCTTCAATGTCCTTTCGACTTGATCCCTCCAAAGAGAAGTTTGGTTTCATAAGGAAAAATACATAGTTTGCATCAACACCCTTTATACTCTCCTTTACAAAAAGGGGCTTGCATGAATTTGGATTATGTTTTATGATCTCAGCAAGACCATAAAGTTCAAGTCCTCTCATAAATTCTTTCAAATACAGTTGTCGTTTAGTAATAAGACTAATCATAATGGATCCCATGATATCACTGATATGTTCTTGGTCTATTTTACCAGTGTAACCATGATCAACAATGGTATCATTGTGGTTATCTAGATCATTCCGGATATTCTCAAGCATCTTCTTCTCCTGAGGTGTGATGTGCATTTCATTCAAGTTAGTGAAATCACTTTCTGGATTGACCATTGTGTCATAAACACATTCTTCAAGAAAACAAGGCGGTGGGTCTCCCTGAGCCAGACTCACAGCGACAATTTCTCCACAAGACTGGAAATATCCATTCTGTACATTGTAGGTGGAGTTGACGGGGGTACCACCAGGGAACATTATGTTCCCCATGTCTAATATGGCCTGTGCAAGAAACTCTTTGCTCATTGCTCCACTATCTATTCCACCTGTGAAGTGAACTCTCAGAGATTTTTCTGGGCTGGTTTGCTTTGATTCATGTTGCCACAGATTTAGTCGTCTTGTGAAGTTACAAGCCCTTCGAACCACCATAAAGAATTGGCCTGTGTTATCAACTCTCTTACTAAGTTCTTTAACAACACTAACATGGTCTGTTAGTATTTGTTCAGTTGCTGGTTGTTTAACTGATTGTTCTGCATCTTTATCTTGCTCTACCAGGTTGTGACTTCTTTCCTGCATTGTCAGATTGTCACTGTTTTGATAGTCCTCCAAAACATCCTGGTTTAGCTGATTATCTAATTCTCTTGCCAACTTCTCGTCCAGTTTTATTTACTCTCCAACTGTAGTAAGGGCTGTGGTATTCTCAAGTTTGGCATATTTTGCTGCTGAATGAGAGGTGCTTTCATCATCACTCTCATCACCATGGGCTGTGTTATTCTTGCTCTTGCTGTAATTTGATGCTGAATGAGATGCACCTTCATCCTCACTCTCATCATGACCTACTAGTGTATTGTTGTAATCTTCACTTGTGCACAGATACAAATAGATTCTGTTATAATCTTTGCCAATTTCTTCATGGTATCGCTTAAGAGTGAAGACTTCACTTGTCCCAGGCAAGAAGAGAACTTGCTGCCCGTCTTCATAAAGGAGAACATACGTCTGGTTTTCATCGTACAAGTTCCTATAATAAGCTCTCCATTTTTCTTCAGCTTTCTGGAGAAGAAGTGAAGACTTCGCTGAATTTGAAATTCGCAGTGCTACCTTCTTTCCCCTTTTTGGCTTTAAAATATTTTCTTTCTCATTCCACTCAAGCAATCCAATAAAGATAAGCACCTCCTGATCTGCTGCTGAGTTCTTGGTACCTTTGGCCTTTCCACCTTTGACTTTTGAAAACCACTGTTTTCCCTTGGCTGCTTTATAATCTGAAAATGACTTGATGGGTTTGGATGACTTGACCAAACTTGATTCCACTGAAGCAGAGAGAGTACTTGGTCCTGATTTTCCCTTGGGCTGTTTCTTGATAAGAAATAAAAATTGACAAGTTTTAATGTTAAAATGTCTATCATTTCTCCCCATCACAACATTTTGTAACCTTCCAACCAACTCCTCCCCCTCCCCTCCTCTATTTTCTAAAATTGATCGATATTTTTTGAGGCCCTCCACTCCTCTCCTATAATAGCTGTTATTGCAGTCGAGCCTGCGATGAAATATTCTTTCGTTAAGAAGGTATGCGAACAGGGCAAAAGGTTTAACTCATTGGTTAAAACAATGCAGATTGATCCTTAGACCTTTGTTCATTTGTTGTCGAAATTTTCGGACACAGTGAATTTACTCGGTCTCTAGTAATCATCTTATTTACAAATGACCCATTCGCTATTATAAAGTGCCAATTTTCAGCCTTTGAACCTTGACATTGTTTTTTAATGGCTACACCAAATTATATCCAATGAATTACTATTGCAAGTAAAAGAAAAAAAGTAATTGGTCGCTGATTAGGTACGGTACACACCTATCAAAGGTAAGTCTGGAGGAGGTAGGTTTGGGTTGGCATTTTGGCATTTAACCTGTATAAATTTGACGTACCACTCCAGTAAAATCGACTTGTATTTGGGTCAACGTGTTAGTTGCTTGATCGACACAGCCTTTCTAGTCACTTTGGCATGTGCAAAATAAGACTCTTTCCAAACCATTGCTACGAGCGCATGAGTCAAATCACACTTCAAGAACCAGATGAGCTGAAAATAAGCAATTTATCGCTTTCATTTTTTCACCCTTATCTGGAAGTTTTGATCATCAAAGTGTTGTCCTTTGGATGCTTTCCAAAATCCCACTGCTATCAACACGTGTCAGTCTAGTTCCTTCAACTCGTTAAGCCGCTATCGTCCATAATCTACCACATTTCGCTTACCTTTGCCGCAGCTCCAACAGAAGTTGCAGTTTGTGGCAATTTCGGTGCCACAAGTACTGCAATACATTTACTGATCCTGATTCCGCCAATCTGTTCACAAATAGCTACAAAACTGAAAACAATGGGACTTGAACGAAAAAATGGCGGTCAAGTGAAAAATCGAGTGAAAACTGGGGATAGTCTTTTTAACTTAGCTGCTGACCAGTGAGTAATGATTTTGTTTTAGTTTTTGATTTTGATGTGAGCGATTAGCAATTTGTTTTTGATGTGAGCAATTTGTTTTTGATGTGAGGAATTTGAATTTGATGTGAGGAATTTGTTTTTGATGTGAGCAATTTGTTTTTGATGTGACAGTTGTGGGCCACCATAGAAAGCAGTGTGATTCTTTTGTCGGAAGCTTTTCTGTTTTCATTTTATGTGGGTAGTATGTGAAAAGAATTAAAAGAATGCTGTAATTAATTGAAGTTTGACTTCAGGTAGATGTACTTGAGTGTAACAGTGCTGTGGAGGGATTGTAAATTGCTCCTTTGGGAATCTTAATTGAAGACATAACATGAAACGAAAATATAGAAGCCCTGGCAGCAGCCAGGGTGAAGTGTAGTAAAATTTTAAAGAATTCTCTGGCTAAAAGTACATATTAAAAAAACACAAGACTTCGTCTGCCCTAACCACAGTCTTCAACAGGCAAAATGAAGACTGCGCAGTAGTTGAGGCAGTTGTTAGGTTCTGTTTTGTAAGAGACAATATACTTTTAACCAGAAAACGCTTTTAAATTTTACTTTTATTTAATATGAAATGGTTGTTGATGGCTTTATTGTAATCCCATTGTATACTTTTGCTGTTATTTCGGTCTCGTCTCTAACTGAAACTTTGTGTATTATGTAGTTATTGCTAATATTAATGTACTCTTATAATGGGTAATACTTCATATAGGACAGTATAGAAAGTGAATGTGATTATAATATCTGTAAATAGTTTTGTACTCAAAGGTACGATCATTATCATCATTATTGCTGATTTCACACTTGAAGTGTTTTCATACTCTATTATAAAAAAGCTAGAAATTAAGTTACAGCCTAAGCCATTGTGTTAATGCCCTTTAAAATCCCAAGATGTGTTGAAAATTGTGGTGCAACTGTATGTACAATTAGAATTTTTAATTAGCATTATTTAATGTAAAACGTAGTGAGCATTTTGTGCAAGCTTATACATGTACATGAAGCTGTTATAAATTATATAAAAAAGAGAATGTAAGCGTCTTAGATTGAATACTTTTAAAATAGTACAAATAATTATTATACTCTATAACGTATTGATGTAAAGTTTGTTGTGGGCTGTGCTACATTTATATATTACGTGAAGGATTGGTGGTAATTTAGATGTCTTGAAACTTGTCTTGAAAAGATGAATGAGTGAACGTGCTCGATCTCATTAGTTACATGTCTCTAGCATAGGGTCAGAGAAAATTCTAAAGTGTGCTATATCCAGTTGCTCAGCGTAGGTGAATTAACCTGGCTCTTTTCTTGAGAGTGGAAATGTGTTTGTTTTAAGTGTATATTACTCTGTGATGTTCAGTATTCATGTGAAATCGGTGAATGTTTTCAGAAGTGGTGAGGGCAATGATGTTTGTTTCATCTGAGGTTTTACCAAGAATTGCACTAATAACCTCTCTTGATCCTTCACTTTGCATTTTCAGCATGCATATTATTTTGATGTATTGTTTGCCATAAAAATAATTTGTGTACAACTGTACTTTGACTGGGAGAAATTTAGTGCAGTTTAGTTTAGTTTTATTGTTGTTGTTGTTGTTGTTGTTTTTGTACTCAAGGTGTTTCTGGCATTGTACGTAGTTGTTTGAAAGCCTGGCCTTATCATCTAGGATTGAGATGAAACACATGCTCTCAAAGCTCTTTTGCTAGTGTAACTAAAAGATTGTTCAAGTATAATGCAAACACCCTTGGGACCAGAAGAGTGCCCACTTAGGATACAGTAGGTGGCTTTTCATAGGTGGTTAGAAATACATAAGCCATTTTAGGCAGAAAAACACTAGTTTAAGAATAAGATTCAAGAATTGTGTTTTGCAGCATTTGCTGTTTACGGGGTTCTAGAACAAGGCCACATGGAAACTCTCACTAATTTATAGCAAGCAGAAGTTCAATTCCACTTCATGTGTATTTTTTGATTACTAAGGTCAATGATATTAATCCTGGCAGGGAAAAAGGGAACATTTTTTTCTTGGAATTGCTGTTGAAGGGATATGATCTCCTAATGTTAACCTTGTGTTGCTCTGATGTTTTAATTTACATGCTTATGTTTAGTTAACGTTTCTAACTTTATGAATTTAAAAGTGAGTTAACTGTCTTTGAGACACTTTTTGTAATGTATTTAAAACATATTTTTATGATATGCGTCAGATAATTTTATGCCAGTTTTTCAGCTTTTCAGTCAATGATGTCATCGTTACATACGGCAGCTTGTACATGTTAAAACATGCAATGTTTATATTCTCAAATTTTAGTTACTTCTTTTTAGGGTAAAACTCAATAAAATGCCTTGTATCAGGTACTTTGTGTTAAAATGTTGCTGCCTCCCTGACCTAGTTTCCTCTTCCATTCACGTACACCCATAAAAGCTCTAATTCGGAAAAAGTAGGATTTCAAACGACTCAAACAGTACAGTGTGAAAGTATTGCTCAAGAACTATCTATTGACAAATTTCTCCAATGATACAAGGGTCTCATTAATGTTTTCAGCTGGAAGGTAACTGGTTTTAACAGGTGGGCAAAACGTTTTGAACTGAACTTCTTTAAAATAAGAACTTTCTTCTACATTCTTCTTTCATCCTTGCAGGCAGTCAATTTTTCCTGTCACCAGCCATTATTGAAACCCCTGATGATAGGTCACACACAAGGGTTTCGTCCACAGACTTAAAAGTTAGGACAAAAGGGTAACAAAGAAGTGTAAAATACATGTGCAGCTTTCATTTGAATGATTCCATGTGATAGTAGACAGTACCATAATAGACAGTGCCACATGTAATTACAGCTCTGTAGCTGTCATTTGATTGGTCACACACCTTGATCATTAAGTTATGTATGGCTCACTGTCACAAGAAGGTGACAAGTCGTGGATGAAGTAACTTAAGAAAACTTACTACTACTTGTATCCCTGGATGGTTGCTATTTCGTGACAGGCAGCCCTTGCCCAGGTTTTTAAACGTTTCATTGGACTAATAAAATATCCTGATGGGTCAGGTTGAGAGAGAGGTGCTCTGAGAGTCGCTTGATTCGCCCAAGCACTCAGTATGATAACCCTGACCAACCACTGTTCATGTGGACTTCAGGTGAACACCAGTACTCGAGATGATTCAACACAAATATTTATACAGTTCTGTTTTCTTATTCCATTAAGTCTTGAAGTCTATTGCCAGTTTGCCTCTTTTACAACCTGACCCATTCGCTGATATCAGTCTCTCATAATCTGACCTGTCCCGTAGAAACTGGTCAAAGCTGGTTACATCTAATTTCAGACGATTGAACGACAACATATCTTAAAGAATGAAGCCACTCATTGTTTGATTAATTGTTCTTGGTGATGCCTTATGGAGACAGGTTTTACAACGCTCTTCTACTGTCAAAACTGTCACAGTTCACAATGTGCTTCAGTTCAGCTGTTGCCTTGCCTGGGGTGAAAAAAAAATGCTTTAGGGAGTGATAGAGGTTTAGTCACTGTTGATGAACAGAACTCCGTATTGAATGATAACCTGTGCTTTAGGATCATACTTAATTCTTGGCGTGTGTTGAAACTATCTTATTATGACAGACACTCCAATTTGACCCTTGTAAGGGTGGTATCTTCTGTGTGTTTGGTTGTGTGTGTAGTGTGTACTATTGCTTGCCCTGCTGCCTTTTCTTCCCTCTTTGATTTTTTTCTTTTTTACCCAAAATAAAGGGGGGGGGGCAGGCACCCCCTGGCCCCTCCCCCATTGTGTTCCAATAACAGCACCATCAGTGTGCATTGAGATCATCCATGGTTCATCTTCTTTCTGTAGTGCATCATTCTTGCATTATAAAAGAATTGGTGCTCTGCAATGTTAATGTTTCGATTGTTAGTTTCTTACCAGGTCATAATTCTTTCAAACGAAAAATCACTCTATAGACACATTCAGATGTTTTCATCGATAATTAATACGTGCACTATCCCAGTAAAGTTTTCACTGTGGTAAGCACCTCCCACGTCCCTTCTCTCCACTCTGGTGCTTGATTGCATTATTGAACGGTACAGAGAAAATCATAGCACACGTGTTATTTTTTTTATTATGCTTCTTTAGGCAGTAGAGGCTCTCGTCACAGCACAGACAGTGGCACAACGTCAGACTCCAATGAAACAAGAGACACTGTATTTGACGATCTAAGTTCTCCATTCCGCAGCGACCTGGAAGCATCACCCCCTATGACACCAACCACCCCTCCCTTATTCCAAAAGGGTGCCTATATCTCAAAGGTAAGAATTGTACGTGTATGAAAACAAAGCAGCAGTGTTTTCACAACTTTACTATAATACTGGCCTCCAAACGTGTGATGCCTTGTGCATTTTTAATGCCTCTATGGGGTTTGGGTAACAAGAGAGAGATTTGTTGCTGATGTGACAGTACTGTTAGCCTGCGAGCTAGCCGAGTGTGGTCTGTTTGGTTTGGTTTAGTGCGAGCTAGCCGTGTGTGGTCTGTTTGGCGCTAAACGGCTCACTTCGCTCGCCGGGATTTTTTTTCAGCCCTCGCTGGGAGCCTGTTTGCAGGCCACCGTACTGTTAGCCTCCTACATGTACGCAGACGTTCTTTGGGCTGGTCACACAATCTTTCTCCCCCACGAACAACGTACTCAGGGGAGCAAGATTGCGTGACAGGCCCAAAGAACGTCTGCGTTTGAGGCTAACAGTACTGTTGATAGTGATACATTTACCTAGAAAATGCAGTGAAATGAATAGTATTTTTCCCTCTGAGAGACGTTTTGTGTGACATTGTACAAGATGCAACTGCGGTAGAGTCCTGAACACCCTGTTGAACGAAAATTTCCTCTAATTTCGGGGGCAAATTTCTCCGAACTTTCTTGTCAAAGGAGCAAAAAATTACATTTTGAGTAAAATGGGGATTCCACTCTATTTTCATCTCATGGAAAACGTCATTGAGGTGCAAAGTGGTAATCGATGTGCCAATCAGTGTGTGCCTTGTATTGATACTGGATTTATGCACTTACCGGTAACTAAACCGAGATAATGACTGGTGATTTTTTTTCTTTCAGGAGTTGTACAGTGCTGCTCATAATGTTGCCAGAGAGCTCTTAAATACGGAAAGAACGTAAGCACTTCTGTGATGTTTAGCTCAGTGACTGTCTTTTTCAAGTATTTTTCTCTAAAGTTAAGTTGCACCAGACACTGACTCATTTTGTTTCAATTTGTGAATCAACAGGTTTATCAAAGATCTTGAAGTCATAACCATTGTAAGTAGCACATAAGAAAAATTCATTTCATCTTGATTCTTTTGGAAGTACATAATTCTTAGAGTTGCGTTATAATTTTAAAAAAGACGTAAATGTAAATAATGTAAACAAAAATTCTAGAAATCGACAGAGGAAGTTGTCATGTATGTCAGTTTTGGACACTGCCAGTTTTGATTCCATTGATATTCGAGTGAATTTGGTTTAACCCATTGACTCCTAAACCGTGCAAAACCCGGCGGGCGCTGGTCTTCGTGCAACCTTTGACCATCGGTTTTCATGCCAGAAGGTGCTTTTAATAATCAGCTGATAAAATGGGAAACATGCTCACAAAGCATGTCTTAACGAGCATGATGAAAGAAATGTGCAAAATTTCCCTTTAACTGAAATAGCAATCTTGAAATGAGTTTTGAGCCGTTGGTTGGCAATCTCTTGAGCTGTTAAAGTTGTATTGTTGTCTCTGTTGAGCGAGACACTGATTTGCTGTTTGGTGTTTTCTCAGGCCTTTCGAGATGTTATCAGTAACGATGGTGTTCTTCCTGAGATAACAAGGAAGCTTCTTTTTTCCACGTTTGATCCCATTTATGACTTTCACTGCTCATTCCTGTCCGAGTTGGAGCAGAGAATGAATCTATGGTAAGCTATAATTATTTTTTTAAGTACTTGTTGAAAGTTGTCATGAAAGACAATGAAAAACAAATGCACTGGTAATGATGAAGTCATATTTTGATTTGATTGCCCGCTACTAGAGCAGCTTTCATTTGAGTGTCGTAAAATCAAAACCAAGCCAATTACCTATTAATTAGACTACTCAGCCAGTCTCAAACCTTATTGAAACCAAAACCAAAGTAATTGCCTGATTACGTTCGACATTTAATTGAAATAGGCTCTAAGTAATCATAATTCGTCCCAACAATTTAAAGGGTGAGATAGAAAATGGAGTACATGTAAAGGATTTTCTTGCTAAGGGGTTACTCATCTTCGTAAAATTTGCATGAACGAAGAGCAAAGTTGGTCAAGATTGATTAGCGTTATTTTTAAACACTGAGTATGTATAGACTGTTGCTATAAGTTGAACCATAAAGGGTCGATAAGGAAGTCTTTGATTGTTGTTATTATTCTGTTATTGTAGGGATGCAAGTGGAGCATCTAAGACTGACGAGAGTCCAAGAATGGGAGACCTTATGCTACGTAACATGAAGCAGTTAAAGGTACATAAATTATGTAGATGCAGTGTAGCAGAGGCAATGTTCTGCGCACTGTTATCACAATTTGGAAGCAGTACTCGTTGGAACCGCCTAGAGTAATACCCATGTAACGTCTTTCGTTCAATTCCTCCTGCAACGGGTTTTAATTTTCGCCTTTCACGTTCGCTGGTTCGCTGGTTCGTTCGCTCGTTTTTCCCTTCGTTCGTTTGTTCGTTCGTTCGTTCGCTCGCTCGCTCGTTTGTTTGTGTGTGTGTACGTGCGTGCGTGCGTGACTAGATGTATGCATGACCGCATTCGTGCATTCGTTTATTCGTGCGTTTGGCTGTGCGCTCGTAATTGGCCCGTAATGCTCTTTTTTTTTTTTTCTTATTTCTTCATTGGTTTGCTCTTTTAATTCATTTATTGCTTCTTAATTAGCGGTACCTGCATCATCTCAAGAGGCATGATCAAGTTATGCTTGAGTTAGAGGATGCTACAAGAAACAACAAGGACTTCGAGGTCGTTTACAAAGAATTTGAGGTACATTGTATATATATATTTCGTTTGTCACTTTCTATTATTATTTTTTTTCATTTCATTGCGACTTTACTTTTTTTTGTAGACTCAAAAAGTTTGTTATCTACCATTCAATGCTTTCATTTTGAAGCCGTCCCAGAGAATAGTCCATTACAAGTTCCTTCTAGAAAGTAAGTGGAGGAAAGCAGGTTTCCATGAAACGTGTTAAAATGTAATCCCACTTTATCAGAGTAAGCTTCAATGCA